ATATATATATATATATATATACATATGTTTGTTTCTGTGTTTATTTATATCAGAAATCTATTTTTGCATATATTTGACTCTGATCTAACTTGATTACTTGGTTTCTTATCAATTTTCTTTTCTTTTATTAGATCTACAGTCATTTCTGTGACAAATTGATGGGTGACCACCACTTGCAGGCTCTTAAGTTGGCACTATTAGCACCATATCCTGAGCTTCATCACACAGTCATACATAAGCTATCTACAATATTACAGGTACAGCAAGTAAATGGTTTTTCACTATTATTAGTAATTATATTCTTGCTACTTACAATAACAAAATGAGTACATTTAAAGATTGTGCACAAAATGTTATCAGGATATTGCTTCTTAGAATGTTGAACTATTAAATAAAGAAATGTTTGAATATATTAAAATGCTTAGAGATAGGATTTGATATTTAAAAAAATGAATTCTATCATATTACAGGAGTTGGAGAAAGTTGAAATTGATGATGACGCTCTATGCTTGCTGCTTGAAAACTGCCATGTGCCACAAACTGTGGGTACACCATACTACCAACCTCTCATTGACTACCTGTTAGTGAATCAGCACAAATCTGAGGCATCGCATAACATCGAAAATGTGGTAGCCCAGTTAGAAGAAGCAGGACATGCAGTAGAGGCTGGGTCATTGTTGCTCTTGCAGCGCGGATCATGTCCGAACTTGTCTACATTTGATGCCGCATTTGGCACTCTCTCACGGTGGCTTAAACGCTGAACAAGTATCGAAATCTAGGAATTTTCCACGTAAGCTAGCTGTTGATATGAGTTTCAGTCTTGGAATTGTTTCATAACTATGGCATTACTATAGCAACATTTCTAATGTCAGTATTTGCAATCGTGGGATTTTTATAGCGGCTTTTACGCTATATAACTGATATTAACAGGGTATGCAGAACAATGTGTTTGTTTGACATATATAGACGTTTATTTAGTTTATTGCTCCTATTCATTACCTTGTTGGTTGAATACATGCTAGTATACTGTAATTTAAACCAATGATTTAAGTCAGAATCTGGCTTTCAATTTGATTGGTCTCTGCATGCGTAGAGGGAGAAATGTGGGGGTTAATTGTTATTAATTTGGTTGTTATTGTTTATGTTTTTGGTTTCTATATCATTCTGATATTGGATGACACTATAATGATTGTGATATGATCATAATACCTGCTTCCTATGTCACTATATATAGGAAGGTGCCGGTTTTATAGTCTGTTGGACGGGAAGAGTGCACATCTCTAAAGAAGTGGCTTGTCTGCACATGGTCAAGTTATAGTAGTGAATGCAGGTTATGAATAATGTATCATTGTATGAGTCTGTTGGAAAAATATTTGAACTGGTACAACGATAATTAAGTTATAGATTGCAGCTCATCTAAATAAAGAATTTTAATGAGAACCATGCATGCACAAGCAGGCAACTTGAACTTTATTTATACAGCCTGTTTAAATGTTTACTCTTGCAATACGTACCTACAGGTACGTATTGCAAGAGTAAATATTTCATGTGCCGTTAACGATACACGCAATATTTAATTAATTAATTGTCAATATTGCAATTGATATTTGGAAGGCTGTTTTCCTGATGACAGTGATGTTACAGATGTAATTTAATCGGAGTGGAAACAGCAATGCTCGCGAAAGTAACATCAAAATCATTGATGAGTTGATGATCATTGAGGAGTTGGTGATCGTTGCTCATCACCCACCAGAAACTGCAATTTAGAAAAATTATCATAGGTGTTTGAATATCTCTAATGTAAAGCAGAAATAATAAGTGACTCATTAAACTAATATGTGAAAATGAGTGTATCACTGTATGCTTTTGATGCTCATGGTATTAGTCTACACCACTCGATCTACACAGACACTTTTGCCAGAGGCGTATATAAAGACTGATATGGCCATTTAGGTTCAAGGATAGAGAACATGGGTCCCAATAAAACCAATGTCATTTACATTAATATAAATATAATATTATATCAATATAAAGGTTAGGGTTATGGTTAGGGTTAGGGTTAGGGTTACTATTAGGCACATTGGTTTTATTGGGACCATGTTCTCTATCCTTGGGCCACTATTTATATCAGGATCGAGTCTATCAATATTGAGATCAATATTGCGATCAATATTGATAGACTCCTGTTTTTCCGGCTCTGCCTTTTGCTAGGGTCCCTATATACAGATTTGTATATAGGGACCCTAACTTTTGCTGGGTTTTTGGCGCCATCTTTCGGTAAACGTTGACACTATATGTTTCAAGATGGCGGCACCCACAAGTAAAAGCAAAATATTCAGCAAAATCTTTACGTTTCCGTTTGACTATTTAGATAAAAAGTAAGAAACCACGGCTTTATTAAATTCGAAGTCAGTGGATTCATTTTGTTGTGGTGAAATGGCTAAATGTAACTTTGCACTATATGTGTTAGATGTACAGACTCAATTTCAATAACATCACAGCCATTCATAATGCGTGTCGTTTATCAACTTTATGCATGAGGAGGTCCTTGAGGGGGTTGTTATTATTGGAATCAATTATGCGTGCCATAAACGGTCCAATACATATGTAAACATTTCACAGCATGACGTCTCCAGTAATACTAAGTAAGGCCAATGGGCACGTAAAAGAACCACTGAGGAAGCAAAAAAACTGGCTGTGACCACCCTCGGCCTCAGTACCATTCGGCTAAAGGCTAACTACCTGGCTTTACCCAAACTAGGGCTGAGAGGGTCTATGTCCCCCGGGGTACTGCCGGAACATACCCTGGGTACGGTCCGGTATACCGGAACGTACCCTGGTACTATCTAATATCATATGCCGGACCGTACCGCGCCTACTCCACTAACGAGTCTAGGGAGTCGCCTACTCCCTAACCCTAACTCTAACTCTAACTCTAACCCTAACCCTAACTCTAATCCTAACCCTAAGTTCCCTAACCATATCAAATGGTGACCAGGGTACGTTCCGGTATACCCTGGGGGACATAGACCCTATGAGCCAAACTAGGTCACACCCCATGGCTAGCTATAGCCCTGCGTTATTATTCACGTAACCGTGGGCTACGCAGTAAAATAGCCAGATCCAGATGACAACATTTAGTTTTATAATACTTCTTTCTTACTCTACTATATTTTACTTACAATCAGTTCAAAAGGAAAAACAGCTGGAAATTAAGATTTTTCGATAAGGCAGTGACTTAAAGGGACTCATGACCGTTCTTTGCATATTTTCAGCTAAAATAGGTTTAAATTACGCTGCATAAAAAGTTTAACTGTTCAATATTTATTAGAAATATTAATAGAAATACGTCTATACGGTATACTGTTTGCTTACAATGGTGGTTACATAGCCTGGAATAGAAATACCATGGTCAATGAAAGATAGTAATTGTATCCCCCGCGACGAAGTCGGCAGGGATACTATATGGTTTCATGTCTCCTCAGCCGCCGCCACCGCTCGGTCCGCCGCAGAGAATTTCCTTTCCGTTCTATAACTCGACCCCTAATTGACCTAGCATGACCGAACTTGGTATACTTACACATTTTGGGGAGAAGGTGTGCAGAGTACCAAAACCAGGTCACTGCGACCTTTATTTGACCTTTACCTTGATCTTGATTATATTTCACTTCCACTCTATAACTCGGCCCCTAATTGACCTAGCGCTACCAAACTTGGTATACTTATACATCTTGGGGAGAAGGTGTGCCGCGTACCGAAACCAGGTCACTGCAACCTTTATTTGACCTTTACCTTGATCTTGATTATATTTCCCTTCCGCTCTATAACTCGGACCCTAATTGACCTAGCGCTACCAAACTTGGTATACTTACACATCTTGGGGAGAAGGTGTGCCGCGTACCAAAACCAGGTCACTACGACTCTCAAACTGGGCCCGGTGGTAGCTAGATGTTTCCGCACGTATTGAGGGGTCTGGAGGCCACAGTCATTGGGATATAATTTGCTGTCACTCTGGACCCATTTTTTTCCTGAGAAGTGCTCTTGTGCAATTAATACCTAGTTTCAAGCTGCGTACCTATAACATCATTAGACTAGCCTGATTGGGCCAAGGGTTGCTATTTTGGGCGGGCTGGGCAGGGACAACACATGGAATACATTTCTGTCATTTGCATTTTGTATTCCAGAGTAAGTGCTTTGTCCAACTCTTAACTAGTTTCAAGTTCGCTCCGGTACCTATAAATTCTCAGGCCAGCTAGATTGTACCCACAGTGCCAGGGGTACATTATTTGGGGCCGTGTCTGGCACCCCTTGTACAACTGTCGCGCAAAATTTTGGCGTAGCCTGTTTTGTGCTCTATCTGGATATTGAAGATTGATCATTTGCATCACTTTCACTCGGTACTCTGTCTCGTCTATTCTAGCCTAAGATTATTTTAGTGCCCTTTTGTGCGGGGGTCTGGCGGGCCTTTTAACAACAGCCCGAAATTTCTATTGTATTATGCTTTTTGATCGTATGATTTAGCAGTATACGCTCATCCTCATTGGTACTTTATTAGCCATTGGATCCTACCATGATCATCTATCTTCAGACCATTTTTTTACACCCTTTTTGGGCGGGTCCCCCTGGGCTATACGCAACGGGGCCCGGTACCCGCCAGCAATAGATTTTCTATAAGTCTTAGGTGACACCCTGTTTATACTCCATACGTAGATATTTTTGTACTCTGTTCGTCTGACCCTCAATGCCTCTCGGGCTGCCGGTCTAGATAACATTAGGGGCCGAGTTATAGAGCGAACGAAAAATATGATGTAAGAGTCAAGGTTCAAGGCAAGGTCTAAATAAGGTTGTCTCCAGTGCACCTGTTTTCGGTACGCGGACAACACATTCTCCCCAAGCAGTGTAAGTCATTACCATAGTTCTGCTAGCGCTAGGTCACTTTAGGGGCCGCGAGTTATAGAGCGGAAGGTGAAAATTTTCAAGCAAAGGTCAGGTAAAGGTGCAAATAAAGGTCC